CTCTGCACCAGAGACCTGGCAGTTATTAAAGTTTCGCTGGCAAAGGAAGGAGTCAGGGAGGACCTTGTAGTCTGCTCTTCCTACTTTCCTATCGATATCGAATCTCCTCCTCCGGACGTCATTGCAGTCTCAAGGTATTGCGAAAGCACGGGGCTCCCTCTGCTCATAGGCTGCGACTCTAATTCGCACCACGGCCTATGGAGCTGCAGAGACGAGAACCCCAGGGGACGCTCTCTGGCGGGCTTCCTGAGCTCCAGCGGCTTGGAGGTCCTTAATCGGGGAAGCGTCCATACCTTTTACTGCAACCGTGGCCAATCTGTGATTGACCTAACCATTTGTTCACCAAATATTGTGAACCTTTTCAAAGCATGGAGAGTGTCCTTGGAGGTCCGAATGTCGGACCACAGGCACATTCTCTTCGAGCTGAATAAAGACACCAGCTGCGACAACCCAGTCTATAGAAATCCGAGGCACACCAAATGGGACCTCTTTCGGGAGGAGCTCACAGGTGGGCTCTTGGATATGCCGGCAAGGTATTACCTTCCAGCCGACATTGAGATTGGGATAAATAAACTGTCCACCGCAACTCTTCGGGCATACGAGGTTAGCTGTTCATTAAGACGGAAACCCCAAAATGCAAAAAATGTCTGGTGGAACCACACTACGGAATTCCGTCGGAACATCACGCGCCGACTTTTGAGAAGGGCTGAACGCTCCAAACTCGTCGCCGACTGGGAAGCGTTTCACGCAGCCCCAAGGCAGTACAAAAAGGCGCTCAGGGATTCCAAAAGACAGAGCTGGAGGCAATACTGCGGGGATGTTGAAAAAATATCCCCAGCAGCTCGCCTCTGTAAGGCTCTGTCAATGGAACCCGGTAGTAGAGTAGGGTCACTGTCTCTTCCGGGCGGTGGCTTCACGACTAACGAACAGGAAACCCTGGAGGTCATGCTCGCACTTCCCGGGCTGCAGTTCAAACAATGCTGTCTTGGCCGGCGTTCGGGCCCCGATTAGCGCTGGGCGCGACACCGCCAAAAAAGTAGTAAGTTATGAGAGAGTGATATGGGCGATTAAGTCCTTCCCTTCCTTTAAATCTCCTGGCAAGGATGGAATCCACCCTTGCCAGCTGCAAAAGGCGTCGGATATCATCACTGTCCACTTGGTAAGGATCTTTAGATCTTGCCTCGCTCATGGATACATTCCAGAGCAGTGGAGAGAGGTGAAGGTCTTCTTCATTCCGAAAACCGGACGGAGCGACTACTCCGAGCCAAAATCGTATCGACCCATTAGCCTCACTAGTTTCCTGCTCAAGACTCTGGAGAGGCTACTGGACCGGTATGTGAAGGAAGGCATACTGGTTTCCAGACCTTTACACACCCAACAATACGCCTATCAGACTGGCAAATCCACAGAACTGGCCTTGCACCACCTGGTCAGGGGCATTTGATAATACCCATTTCAACATCATCTGCGGAGCGCTCGAAGGGCATGGCTTAGAGCCTTGTCTGGTGAGATGGATAGAGGCCATGCTCTCGCAACGGTGGTTAGAGCGGTGGCCGCCAGAGGCTGTCCGCAGGGCGGAGTTCTATCTCCGATTCTGTGGTGCCTGGTGGTTGACGACCTGATTACTAACCTAAACAAGGCAGGCTTGTATACTCAGGCCTATGCCGACGACCTGGTTATCCTTTGTCCGGGTAAGGACGCCGTCTCACTGCGCAGGGCCCTATGACAAGGGCTCTGCGCATAGTGGACCGGTGGTGCCTTGTGGAAGGACTCAGAATAAACCCTAATAAGGCGGAGCTCCTACTCTTCTCCAGGAGACGCAACTTCGGCACACCGCCCAACATTTCTCTGGGAGGTGTGACTCTTAAATACTCCAGGGTCGTTAAGTATCTAGGCGTAATGCTAGATTCTAAACTGTCCTGGTATGAACACGCAGAGAACAGGATGAAAAAAGCAACCTGTGCCCTTTGTGCATGCAGACGGGCCTTTGGTTGCACCTGGGGTGTCTCACCGAAGATCCTTTACTGGATTCATAACTCTATAGTTAAACCTCTTCTCACGTACGGGGCTATCGTTTGGTGGCCTTGCGTGGAGAAAGCCAAAATACGGGCGCAACTGGACAGAGTCCAGCGCCTTTCCTGCCTCAGCATAACGGGGTCCATGCGTACGGCTCCAACAAGGGCCCTGGAGACCCTCCTAGGTCTCCCGCCCCTGGACCTCGTGATTCAGTTCGAGGCAATGAGGACAGCCTATAGATTGCACGTCCTTGACGAAATGCGCACCGGCGAAACCGGACACGCGAGAATTTGGTCTCAGGCCGCAGAGAAATGTCCTGTCCTTCTGATGGGCAGCGATATCATGCGACCGGAGCTTGTTCATAGCAAAGGCTTGGAGGCCCATATTACTGAAAGAAGTGAATGGCTGGGCGGCTCCAAGCCAACTGTACTGAATAGTGGAGCTATGTGGTACACGGATGGCTCCAGAATGGATAACAGGTCGGGGGCAGGTTTTTGCGGAGGGTCCCCTAAAATTAGTAAATCTTTCTCTTTAGGAGAACACGCTACTGTCTTTCAGGCTGAAATTTTCGCTGTAATGGAGTGTGGTCGGGAAATTTTAAGCCGGCGCCACAGGAATGCAGTTATTTCAATCTGCTCCGACAGCAGAGTCGCCATCAAAGCCATTATGGCTGACACTGTGCGCTCTAAGCTTGTAATGGAGTGCAAAAAAGTCCTGGGAAGACTGGTGAGTGCCGGCTGCCGGGTCCGCCTCGTCTGGGTGCCCGGTCACTCGGGCGTCGCGGGCAACGACGAGGCTGATTTACTTGCCAGACAGGGATCGTCAATGCCACCTGTGGGCATGGCATAGCCAAATGTGAGGCTGTCACGTCCCTCAAGTCTCCTATCCGGACACTGGCACCTAAGACGCCATCTTCACAGCATGGGCATTATGGACGACCCGGAATGCCGCTGGTGCATGGAGGAGGAGGAAACGGAAGACCACGTCATGCACCTGGGCAAGTTGTATTGCTTGCCCGATGACTTCAAAAGGATGAAGCCAGGGTGCCTAATTGGCTTTTCCAAGGACATAGGCCTCTGGTAAAACTCAGTGGGGCACGACGGGTCCACCACAGGAGACCTATGTGCACTACGGTCGCGGCCGCCCACTATTTCATTCAATCATTCATTCAATATGTGAGTTGGCAACACTTAGTTACCAACCAACTGACAGATGGATTTTATTATTTTCAATGAACTATAATCAAAAACTGAAATGCGCACACATTGCCATATCCGCTACAAAAATGAAGCCATCAAAGACGGATGCCACAAGGGGGAATATTGTTATTTTCTGTTGCTCGCTGACATATGACCAGAGATAAATACTATATAAACTGTCGAGAATGGAATCTCAGTGTAAATTTTGTTGTTTGTTTTGTTTTGTTACTGGTTTTGCATCGATGCTACAGACAACTACTTTACATAGGACTTTTTATGATAGATGGCGCCCTGTTCGCATTACTGTCGGTCTGTTCAAATTCGTTTATTCTAGATTTTGGGGCATTAATGTTTGCTTAAATTAATTGATAATTTGTTAATTAGATCAAAAGACAGTTTCTTTATCGATGGTTAAGGGTATCCTTAACATATTTATTCAAAGTTCTGATTGATGTTTAATTGAACCTGTCATTTATCTAATCAACAAAGATAAAAATAGATCTTCCAATCTATAAAGTTTGAAGTTCTTCTTGAAACACACAAAACAACTTTGAAATCACTTAAGAACACTTGACAACATAAAGAAAGATGAAATGCAAGACCGGCGAACAAAAAACATTAGGAATTATTAGTTATATGATCAAATGAATATTTTGGCATATTGTCATATGTTGACATGTCAGTTATCGACATCGGACGTGTTCGTGATGTGCTGGTATTTTACAATTTTGACAATTCTGTGGTTGTCAGCGACATCTAGAAAAACGGAAAAGAGTTATTATGTGGTTCATAACTGGCAATGAGAGATCGCAGGGCCTGCATATGACGTTTTGGAAAGTTTTCTTATATTTAGCAACAGAGGTTTTATCAATTGGAATAAGTGTTGAAAGCAATTTCCGCCATTTAACGTAATGAGTGCGACAAAAACAGGCATCCCCTCCGCATCAGCGGCACTAGGCTTCACGTTCGTCAACATGTGTGCGCATTCCAGTTCTTGGTTCATTCATTATTTTAGAAGTTTTGACAATGGGCCAGTTTCACTTGCCGGGAATATGGCAAATTATGATATTTTTTTATGCAGATAGGTACATCAATGCAACCAAGAATGAACAATATTTTGCAAGATTTCAGTCAGATTATTAAATAAATTAATAAATAAAAACTAAAAATTTAAACAAAAAATCACTTTATTGAAAACTCCCTCTAATTGACTAAAGCCGATTTTGACGTGCTTGTTGCCACATGTAGAAATGCGAAATTTAAATGAGTTTATAACGATTATACCTATCCTTTATTTTTTTATAATGTAGTAAAGGACGAAAATAGTTTCTAGCTTGTGAAATGTGTAATGATTTACTGTTGACAAATTTGGCATCCTTGCATTTTTGTTGATTTTCTAGTTTGTGATGTCACAAACCCGTTTCGCGTTTTCGCGCCAGTTTGAAAATTTGACTTATAAATAAATTTTTTTCCTAAAAATGAGCGTTTTTCTTCGGAAAAAAGTATACAGATAGTATTAGAATGACTAAAAGAATAATTTAAATAGGTATGTTTTCGAAAAATGTGAAAGTGGCCCATTCTGGAGGTATGCCAATAGATACTATGAAAACTAAATGTCACCAAAAATCGTTGAAGAATGAGCTTCATTCTTTAACGATTTTGCGTGCGAGAATATGACATTGTTACATCAAAAGCGAGAAAATGTATTATTCAACTACACACATTTTTAATTTAACTTCAATACATCAATAACTAACCAAACAAAATACATATTTAAATTTAAAAATGGAACTGTTACACTATTGTAAGTAATGAAAATGCTCCTCATTGTTTGTTAAGTAAACTCTTGCATTTGTTATCACTCTTATTTGTATGTTTTGCATCATTCTGAGAGAAACTTATACTTGAATTTTTACTTAATCATCTACACACAAAGGGTCTAGTTTTATATAGAAACTTGGTCTTTTATGTAACCCCACAACCCCATATGGATAAATCCAATGGGAAGAGGTCGGGTAATAGTGGGCGGCGTTTGGTTAGAAAATTATTGAGAAATTTTGTACATGACTCCGATCATGCACGATGTGCGTCATAATTTTTGTCATTGCAATAATAGGTGGTTTAATCTCAATATCCACTATCGTTGGAAAACCAATACATTCAGAGAGAAACCGCTTTCCAGGAGAAAGTCGGTAGGTATCAATGTTTGGCTTGGTAACCTCGACTTCAAAGTAGTGGGTCTCTTCTGTTTTGAAGGTAACTCTAATGGTAGAAGCTATACCTGGGATTTTTATAGAATTATTCGCAGGATATGTCAGATGATCTTCCTTTGATTGTTAACAGATACTTTCAGTACTTCCAGCAAGATGGTGTCCTAGCACATCGTCAACCCAGATGTATGTACAAGATTTCTCAATAATTTTGTACCCAATCGTTGAATTTTGGACCTCTCCCCATTGGTTTTTTCCAAATGGGATTACAGAAGGAGTTTGACAGTCGCCCTGAGGTAAAACAAATCATTTATTTACATTCGTTTAGATTAGGCCGGTTATGTTTTATGCGGTTTTCACAGCTTTTCCACAAGTTTTGGTGTTATTTTGTTTAAAAAAAGTTAGAGCGGAGTGTTTGTGTTCCAGTCTATGTGGTCTTTCATCTAAAAGTTTGCTAGGTTTTTCTATAATGGAATAAATTCCAGGTTTTTTCAACAAATATCAAAACCAAGTGGCACAAGAACAAATATATAAGTATAGTTACTTTATATTCAATCTATTTTTCTGTGAAATCTTCTCTTTTAACAACATAAATCAATTTATCTCTTCTTTCTTGAGCTAACAAATCAAACCTCCCATTGTTATTTAAAATTGATGGAAACCTATGGGAGGATATTGTATCCCTTGCTCCCTTGCTTTAAAAAAATCTAACTAAAAACTTAAAAAACACTGTAAATTATATCTTTGTTTTACCTCAAGGCGATTGTCAATAGTGTCAAACTGTCAGATCGTGTACTTGCCCTATAGGGAACATATTCAATACTTACAATAGTGTTAACAGTTGCATTTTTCAAATTTACATATGTATTTTGTTGGCTAGTTATTAATGTGTGAATGTGTTATAGAGGTGACTCAAATAAACAACTCAAGCTACTTAAATCAAGGAAAATAATCTAGATCTCTCGTGAAAACCGCAGCTTTATTCAAAATATGTAAAGTAAATTTTTTTTTTTAAAGATAAAAGTCAAAATGACATTATGTTGGCAATACAATGTGAAATTGTCAATGCTTTCAAATTTTCTATGTGGAAAAGGCTTGCGTTGCCAACATAGTTACTAAATTTTTGACTTGGGGAATTATCTTTAAAAAAAAAACAGACTACTTTGATTTTTGACATTAAAATGTCACGTTGATATGACTTGTCAAAATTCAAAATTGCACGAGAACATTTGCAAATATCTATTCCGAGAAAATCCGTTGAGGAAGATAAAGACTGTTTTTTTTTTTTTTTAAAGATAAAAGTCAAAATGACATTATGTTGGCAATACAATGTAAAATTGTCAATGCTTTCGAATTTTTTATGTAGAAAAGTTTTGTTTGCCAACATAGTTACTAAATTTTTGACTTGTGGAATTATCTTTAAAAAAAACAGACTTGAAATTGTGCAGGGACTGTGGACCGCCAAAATCTCAGCCTTCTGTTTGTTCAGTCGTCAGTGAACCGTGCCCTATCACTAAGGTTGCAATCCGCTCTAGTGGGATCGTTGACTTTTGTTTCGGAAAATTTTCACACGTGATAATACTGTGCCTCCGAAGCCGGTGTGACGTCACAGCCTAGACGTTCGTTACTTTGAACCGCCCTAACTCGCCTCATGGTTCGTCCTCGGGTCGGCGACCCGTTTTTGGTATGAATATCACATTAGCTTCCCTCCAAGATGTCGGTATGTGCCCTAGGAGCAGGCTTGCCTTAAAAAGCTTTTGTAGGTGTGCCTTTAAGTACTCGTAGCCTTTTTGCAGTTGTGCGGGAAAAATCCCGTCTTTGCCTGGAGATTTGTAGGGTCTAAAGCTATCGATCGCCCATTTAATTCTGTTCATTGTGAAGATTTTCCCAGCCAGCCTTTTGCTCCTGCCGTCAGGACTTTGTGGCCCTTCGATAGGCGGAGTGACCTGGTTCAGGGCTTCAACGATTACCGAACCTGGAAAGTGAGTTTGTAGTAGTACCTCTAGACTTTCTATATGGTCGGTACAGTGTTCTCTGTTTGGCTTTTTAAGCAGACCAATTCCGTTTGAGTGTTTTTTTAAAAGAACTTGTTGGAGACGTTGAGCTGGGGCTAATTCGTCAATCCCCTCGCAAAATTGTCTCCATGATTTCCTTTTTGATTTTCTTAATTTACGGTTGTACTTGTCTAGGGCTGTTCTATAGTCTGCCCAGTTGGCGTTAGTTTTGTTGGACAGTTTTCTGGCATCTTCTTTCAAACGTCTCAGCTGCCCGTTTCACCAAGGCACATCCCTGTGGACTGCCTTCTGTTTTACGGGACATCTGTTCTCATAGGAATCTTTTATTGCATTTGTTAGATAGTCAGATGATGCCTCTAGCTCTTCTATTGTATTTATGTCAGAAGGGAGTTCGTCTAGACTCAGGCAGAGACCCTCCACAAAGGATACCCAGTTGGTGAGTTTTGGGATTCTCGTCTGTACTGAGTGATTTATTACTGCCTCTAAGTCGAACCTTATTGCTTGATGGTCCGGCAGGGAGGGTTCATTTGACACAAGCCAGTTGGTTATTGTGTTAGATGTAAATGTGTCAGCGAGAGTCACGTCTAAGACCTCTTGTCTGACGGCGTTAATGAAAGTGGGTTTGTGAGGTTTGTTACCTTTGTTGATAATGTCTATGTTGTTAGAATTCAAATATTCAAAAAGGTACTCACCCCTTACGTTTGTATCGGTGCTTCCCATGCTACCTGGATCCTTATTCTTGAAACAGGGGAGCAGCGTTCCCAGGAGAACGAGTGTTCTGTCTTTCTCGATGATATGGAAATGATAATATAAGTAACAAAGACGGAACACCCGTTCCCTTGGGAACGCTGCTCCCCAGTTTCAAGAATAAGGGGCCTGGTGATGGAAGTTGGCGTGTGCCCCGATAATGTAGTGTCTGTTTCTCGCTCTGCATCACGTGATGAGTCGTTGGACGATCTCTGGCGGTGCTGCGTTATCATCACCTGGAAAGTAGGCTGAGACTATGAGAATATGCCTTGAGCCCCTTTCCGTTGGCACTTCTACTAAAGCAGCTGCCAAGTCTTGTGTGATGAACTCTGGAACAAGTAAGAATTTTAATTTTTTGTCAAGCTGCAATGCTGCTCTTGGTCTTTCGTGGTAGATTAACTTACATGATTTGATATTTAGGCCTTTTATAGAGCCTCCATTGACCCAGGGCTCTTGAAGTAGCCCTACGTTGATTTTTTGTCCAAACATTCTTCTTCTAAGCTCACTAGTAGCGGCTTTTGAGTGTTGAAGATTTATTTGGATGCATTTGATGCATGGTGAGTTGCTTCTCTTTGGTTGCTTGGAGGAAGCCATTAGAGTTGCACTCACTTTTCGCACTCCACCTGGGCACTTTCGTCTTTATGACTCATTGAGTCTTTAGACGTTCCTGCCCTTGGTTCGGCGCCGCTTTTCTTTGGGGAGCTTGGTTGCTCCACAGCTGTTGTGCTCCGGCTGCTTTGCGGTCTTATAGTCGTATGACCGAACTTGTAACTCACCGCGTAGCCTCCGGATTTGAGTTTTTCTGCGGATGCACTGTCCACAGAAAGGGTAAGTGTGACGCCGAGGGCCAGCGTAACGTCGGATGACTCGCCAATTTTTGACGTTTAGGCCCTCATTTTGGCCTTGAACAAGATTGAGGATTTTCTCCGTGGAGTAATCCATGCTGCTAGGGAATCGAGCAACCAGGACATCAGAGTCAGGAATGTCAGATTCCTATACCATCTTCAGCGAAGCTCCCTCCCAAGGCTTGATGGAGACCACTGCAGTTTGCAGCTACTGCTATGGCTATGTTTTCGCAAACTAGAGCGAGCCAGCCGGGTCTGTTGTGGGCGCTCAGAAACTTCGGTTCGACCGGGCAATCCGATGCTACCTCGTCCACGATCTTATCCATAATTGCCTCTTTGGTGGCTTCAATTTGCTCCACTGACAAGAGGCAATTGGGAAAATCTGTAGGTAGTATTCCTACCTTTATGCCTCCAGCTATCTGGCTGAAGGTTGGTTTTGGAGCTCTGGAATGCGGAGCACTGCTGCTTATTTCCTTCTTTCTTATGGGCGGGGCATTTCTGCCCGTATCCCTTGTCCTAGCTCTTTTTTTCGCTTGAGCCTCGGGGGTGTTTCCTTCTGACCGGGCTCTTTTTTCGCCCTTGTCAGAAGTTTTAGCCCTTTCTTTGATTGGCTCAAGGGCTTTTTTGCGGGCTTCGTCTGCACTCATCCCTTTTTTTTGAGGAATTTCATCCTCTTTCTGGCAGCGCCACTCAGTCTGATCCTCACGTCGCCCTCCAGTTGAGTTGTAGTAGTCGGGGATCAGACTGCCGAAAAGACGTCTCCAACACATCGAACAGTGCACTCGAAGATATACGTTTTAAAAAATATGTACAGTGTGGAGAATGACCTTGCGGATTTAAATCCGGAGGGCTCCAATAAATTCGTAATTGCAATTAAGAAAAAAAAAAAAAATTCCGACTATTTTGAATTATCGTAAAAAACCTATTTTTTGTGTTTAACTCACGATTGTGACGCCATTTTTCAATATTTTTTCAAAATTCTTGAAC